CTATAAATATGGTGCCGATTTGTATGAAACTCCGTAAAGAGGCTAGTAGGAATTGTAGTTTTTTTTTTATTTTTCTGTTTTACTTAGAATTGGAAATTGTAAAAAGTAAGTTCACAGTATAATGGGGGATTTATGGAGATGGTAAACACAAATATGTTATCAAATTTTAAATATCTAATAGTTAAATGGGGTTAAATCAATTCAAACCATATTTAAGAGCGCCCCCAGTTGGTGGCCAATTCTGACTGTGCTCACATGATTCCTGAGGTCAGGAGCTCTCCATAACAGGTGGCCCCATGTGTTTAGCCCTTTTTTTGCTGAACTACAAGCCTTCAAACATGCACCAAAGTACAGTTTTAATGGTCAGTATTTCAAAGCAGGAGACATGTAAAATGTCCATACCAACATATGTTACTCTTCAGGTCAATACCTTTCCAACAATGTATTTGCTTTTGGTGTGAAATTAAAAAAAATAAATAAATCATTTCACAGACACATGCCATCTCAGGTTTAGTTTCAAATAGGACTTTGAATGGTCAGCACAGAAATTAAGTTGTCTGTGTTTGTTTTGTTTGTTTGTTTCTATTTAAACAGACCAACAACCCCACAACATGAGGTCTACACACACACACACACATCTATAATTGTCATTCTCATTTATATTTCAGTTTTATATTTCAATTTAACATTCTCTAGCCCCCTACACTAACCATCACAGCTAAGGGCCTAATATAACCTTAACCTTTAAACCATATTTTTACCATCAAACAGTCCTTTAAATGAGTGTCAGAGTTCCAAAATATCTTTTCCTTATTCTCTTGATCCTCATTTTGACAGTCCAAAACTCAAATTGGCTTCACAAACATAGTGTAATTGGGACACACACATAGCTGGGTTTTCATATTTTATGGGGATTTTTTTAACTTTACATTTTACTATATATTCTTGCCTCTCTTACATTTAACCTACCCTTAATCAGTGTTGTTTAAATTACTTTTATTATTACTGTGTGAAAATAAATGTAACTACTTGACTAAGTACTAAAAACTATAATAGATCTTAAAACAGATATTGTCATCTAGTAATTTCTTACCTTATTATCTGCTTAAGCATGTCCCATTGTCTGAAATATACCAAAGCAACAGAAATCCTCTATGAATTTATACTAATAAACTAATTTATGAATCAATTTGTTTTTCTTATGCTTGTGTAATAATTCATTAAATTTACATTCTTCATTTTAAAAAGTAATTATGACATATTTTTGTATATAAAAAAAAGAATAAAGTACTTTACTTTTTTAGTGGTTCAGAAATTTATTTTTAAACAGTAAATTACACCCAACACATTTTTTTTTTCATTTAAAGATTTTTTTTTTGAAATGGGAGTTTTTCAATAAATGTTTCTCCTTCCAAAACATGTAACTGTGAGAAACTACAAACACGGTTTCTAGAAAAGCCATTTGAGATAAATAGGCAATATAACATGTGTCCTCTTTGTAGCAGTTATTAAACATGTGGATGGCTCAGCCTTATGAGCGCCATTTAAACATTGCATACATTTACATTTAGAAAGGCCTCTACGATGGCTCTACATAGGGGAGTTTACCCCTTTACAATGTGAGTTTTTAAGTGTTATGCTGCCACTATGGATCTGTGTACAGTATGTAAGTTTCATAACTCTTATCTTACTATGACAGTGTAATTGTGATTTCCATATCCTTACATGTTGGTAGTTAAAGTTAAATCTTAAAGCTTCCAGTCGATTTTTTTCTTAAGACCTGATTTTTTATCAAAAGAAGTCAATCCAATAGTTTAATGACAAATTAAATTTGTATTTCATATATACAGGTATAAGAAAGTATTTACAGACATTTGAGAACCAAACGTTTTGCACAACAGTAACAATACAAACATAGTTACTGAAAATACATCAGTGTAAATCAGCATGTTATAGCAAAAGTAACAATGTGATCATTCACAAAATAGTCAAGAAAAACACCAATTCAAGTGACTAGAGTCCCCACTGCTGCATCATCCTCATCTTCATCTTTATCCTCAGAGCTAAGGTCATTCTGCCAGTCCATTTCTTCCTCCATTTCCCCTTCCTCCTCTTCTACCGGGCTAGAAGTTGGGTCAAGAATACCTTTATACGTGCATGCTACAGTCTGCTGTTTCAGTCTGAGGTCCTGCAGTCTTTTTTTTTAGTAAACACATGAGGCCCTTGGACCCATCCTCTGTGAATCCATTTGGATAGCCTACAAGTCCACACATAAAGCGTAATGGGATTACCATCACAATTAATATTTTATCAGAGAGAACTTAAAAAAACAATATAAGAATAATTGGATGACATGTTTTTAAAGATATGATCCACCCTTACTTCCTGTTTGTGTCCACACTGAAACAGTGGCCATCAGTGACTGGACCTTGGCTATGGAGTCCTTAAGGTACTGACAGTGCTGAATCATCTCTTTTACAAGGATCTGCCTTTCTTCAGTCAGCCGTGAGACAAGCATTACTTGGTCAAAGAGCTTCTTCTTGGTGAAAATGCTGACACCATCTGAAGGGTTGAAAGCATAATATATTAATAAAAAAATCCTACCATACACACGTGTGGGTATACAATAGTCAACATTTGAAGTGAATCAAAAAAGTTTTTCAAAAATGTCCACAGACAAGAATGGGTGTTGTTCAATTGTTTTAATACAATTTTGATGAAAAGTTGTTATCCACTTCAAATGTTGAAAACAGTGTGTGTGTGTGTGTGTGTGTGTATGTATATATATATATATATATATATATATATATATATATATATATATATATATACACACATACATACATATACATACACACACACACATATATACAGTTGAAGTCAGAATTATTCACGCCCCTGTTTATTTTTTCCTCCAATTTCTGTTTAACGGAAAGAAGACATTTTCAACACATTTCTAAAGATAAAAGTTTTAATAACTCATCTCCAATAACTGATTTATTTTATCTTTGTCATGATGACAGTCAATAATATTTGACTAGATATTTTTCAAGATAAAGAGAAAAAAATTCAAAGGGGGGCTAATAATTCTGACTTCAACTATATAGACGCGCACACACACACACACACACACACACACACACACACACATATATATATATATATATATATATACATACATATATATATATATATATATATATATATATATATATATATGTGTGTGTGTGTGTGTGTGTGTGTGTGTGTGTGTGTGCGCGTATATATATATATATATATATATATATATATATATATATATATATATATATATATATATATATATATATATATATATATATATATATATATATATAAATATATATATATATGTGTGTGTGTGTGTGTGTGTGTATAGTTACATCTTAATACAACACCTGTGTTCTGTTCCTGCCAAGGCCAGATCATGATCTCTTCTGCTTTGTTGGACAGTTGCTGTACAACTAAGTTTGTGTCCACAGGGTCAGCGTTAGGTTGCTGGTTGTATCTCTGGATCTCTGCGACCAAGCGTTTCTTTTCTTGGGCAATCTTTTGAGTAATCTTCTGACGCCTTTTGTTCCGATCTGTAATATGAGAAAAAAGCAATGATATTACAAAAGTGTTGCCAAGAAATGTAATGAGAAGAACCAGTGTAACATAAATCTGCATCATTTACTAATACATACCATTCTGCCTATAAAGATAATGCTTTTTCTGACAAATGCTCACAGAGAGCGTTTCAATGGACAACTGCAAGCCACCAACAGGACTGGCTGTAGCATTTCCTAAAGTAAAGGTTAAAAAACACTTAAGTTCTGTTTATTCAAATACTTCAGAAAGCAAAATAAAATAACTTAAAGCTCTTTGTACTTCATTTTCAAAATATTTATTATTATAATGTCTTTTTTCCCTTTGGTGTGTTGCTCCTTGTTGTAGTTGTTATTTATGTTTATTTACTTATTTATTTTTTTATTTAGACGATTTACATTTTTATTTTTTATTGTAATGGTTTACATGTCTTGCGATGTTGATTTGTTCCCTGTTTTGTTATGTAAAATTTCTTGCAATAAAAAAAAAAGAAAAGTTCTGTTTATTGCACAGTGCCACAGCAACAGACAAACATCAGGACAATCAATTATTTAAATTTTTCTGGAGGATTTCTTTATAAAGAATTCATTGGTCCATAAGCCTTACTGTAGCTGCACCGATAGGCCAAACTTTTAGTGATGAAGTAAATTGTCCTATGAACTGACATATGTAAAACATTGTGCTCTTGCAGATAGAGAAACAGAATTTTTTTGAGGTCCGCAGCTGCATGTTGAAAAGAAAGCAGATCTGTAAAAAACATCTGAGATAATTGCATCAAGAATGTGAACCAAAAATTGCCTTTTGAAGATATGGAGAAAAAAAAAATAGAGCCCTGAATTTTGGGTCTAATGTGCACATTTATTGGTCTCAAATTATATAGTTTTGGTCTGATTTTTCTGTTGTAACTCTTTTAAAAAAATAAAAGTAATCCCTGTTTAAGTAAGTCAAAATGCAAAATGAACTTGCACACAGTTTCCATCCACACACCATAAATTGACAATAAGCTACAACTAGTTAGATAACACATAGAATAATCCAACAGTGTTTGTTTATAAAACATTTCACTTACCACTGCTTGCCCACTGCTTGACATCCATAACCCACTGTTTTACTGTGTCATCACTACAATGGAATTGATTCTGCATCATCTTCAGATTCTCTGTTGCAGTCAAGGTCTTTTGCACTAGCTTCAAAAAAGCAAAACAAAATTTAATTTACTAAAATAACATTTTAAAGAACCAAAATGCATGATTAAATAAAATAACGTATTTAATTAAATATATATAGCTGAGGTGTGGTGCCCTACATTATCTACATGGGGTACAGTAACAGTGTGATGCATTTTGTGTGAGCTTTAAGTTAAAATTTTTATATTTTAAATAGTTTATTCTTTTACAAAACATGAACATATACCTTTTTAAATCTAGAAGACAAGGCAATGTGCAGTCCATTCTCTTTACGCTGATTCCACCCAATTGCATGGACCGTAAGCATATCAGTTCTTACTGTAGGGAACAACAGAAAATCAATAATCTACAATAAATTGTAAAATATCCAGTTGTTTATTTACAGGCTAGCAGGGGACTTACAAACCTGACTTGGTCATATATTTTGTGGTCAGTGCACATCTGGATAGAAAACTATTTACTTGCTCCACTTCTTCCCCAAGTGTGGTTCCAGCACCTTCCTGGTTCCTTGCATTCCACAGAATCTACAGGAAGCAGTATACATGTTAAACAGTGTGGACAACAGGGTGTTGGCAGCTTTCGAGGATGCTCAAAGCACACTCCTGTGTTGTAGTTTGAGTCACATCATTATTCATTGGGTTACATTGTGTTATTGGCTATATTTTGCTCTTGAATGCAAAAATCAACTAGTTAAAAGCATCACCTCGCATTTTGTATTGTGGGCTTTAGCATGCATTACAGACAAGCAATGTCTCATTTTCTGAAGAGGTTGAAGATGACTCAGGGCCTCTGACACTTTCTCCAGGTATGGCACATAACGGCAGGTCACATCCATGGCCAAAAATTTTGCATCTTTGAACTCTTTTTGGAGATACATCGGATATGCAAAGATTTCTCCTCTATACATGTTCAGACCTTTTGAAAAATAGAAAAAAGTAGAGAGCATGTTGCAGAGTGAAGAGCAGGCTTAAAATCATTAGATTAATCATCCACAAACATTTGTAATTGCTAATATTTGTTATTTGTTAAGACCAATCCCAAGCCCAACCTCCATGCCTGCACACAGCAATTTCCACACCTTCTTCATCCAACTTGTTGGCTTGCTTTGATGTCTCTCTTGCTGCTGTCCAGTGGGATTCCCCACACATTGCTTTTCCTGGTGTCTAACAAAGTAAATAGTTTCACATTTTTATTTTTGACATTAATGACAATAATGAAATTGACATTAACTATATCAAATTACGAGGCTGGTCAAACATACAAACAATGTCAACATTTTGTCATTTATTATATAATCAATTATTCAATATATATTGATAATGAATAATATTGATGGGATATTGATATCATGGGCACTTCAAAATACTGTGCATAATTATTATTAATAGAATTGTTATAGTGCTGTTTAAAATTATACTGATTGTTGCATTGGTGGTGACATTCACAGCATTAATAGCTTGAAGACTTAATTTATTTTCAAACAAAATGAACATTGTGACTATATAAAGTCCTTTTGTTCAATAACTTTATAAAGTAAGGCTTCATTTAACATTAGTTAATTTAGTGTCAATGTTATCTTAGGTGATGTTAATTTCTTAGTTACTTACTAATAATACATTACTTTAGATAACTCAATAAGTTATATTATATTTATTATATATTATATATTATAATATTATATATTATATATTATATATATTATATTTTATATTAAGTTAATAACTGATAGAATTCAGTTTCTTAGACTAATATTAACATAGTACTAATAAATCGGTTTTCCTCAATTTTCAAAATTACATTTACTAATGAGACTTAATTGTAAAGTATTATATATTGTACTGTAAAATCCTTTTAAAATCTTTATTTGTTTGAAATTTTTTTTTAAAACTAAACATGTACTGACAATAAAGCAATACACTAAGTATTTTTTGGTTATTATACCTGTTAAAGTAACCCTTTTTAATATTAGAGTATATCATAATGTCATAAGCCTAATCTATATATATATATATATATATATATATATATATATATATATATATATATATATATATATATATATATATATATATATATATATATATGTATGTATGTATATTGAGTCTGAATATATAGTCAAGCCCGATATTCATAACACAGGTTATTCTGAATTACTCATAACACCTTAATAAAGTCTCCCTCACCCAAGTAAGAAGGCTACAGTATTTCCTACTTTACATCTAATTATTTATAAAATAAGGCAAAGATATCTGTTTATCAGCCGGATTGAAAAAACTTACACTCTTGACTGCACCACGGACTTCCTCAACAAAATTAGACACCATGGAGTCTTGGGCTAAAAAAACTCCTTCAAAAAACCCTGGCTCTTGACTCCTATAAGAAAATTAATTATTAGTAGACGTGTAACCTATTAATAATTTAATTTATAAATCTATATTCAACAGCTACAGTATCAACAGCTTTATTTTAGATACATTAAAGCTATATCACAATGATAATGTTAGTAGCAAGTACATACATGTACTGCATAGTCTGTTTTTAATGTGCATACAACACTCAATGGTTTGTTTTTTGGAACCTGTAGAGTTTTCGGTTACCATCCACTGAAACAGCCACCATTTCAGGGCTACAGGCTGGACAGAGAAATGGCTCCTTTCCCAGTAGTTGGTTCTGTTCAGAGTTGCAGTACACATATTGCAAAAAGCTTCTCTGAAAAGCATCCGCATTCACTTTGCCAGTCTAAAATACACAAGTTGCAGTATACAATGACAATAACATCCAAAATCACAGATCTGTTAGTGCACTCACAAATCCAAGAAAACTGCATATTACCATGTTGTCTTATTTGACCTTCATTTTGTTTAATTTCAGTAGCCTTAAATACTATAGCCAGTTGTGAACCTTGAATTTCATATCAGGTTATATCAGAATCACACTAATTAACGTAATGATCTTTCAGATTCCCATTTTTACTCACTCTTCCAAACTGCTTTGTTCTCTGGTCTAGCAGTGCTGTGAATGCTTTCACTGACATTCCTGGAGCTGCTGTCTTCATAGCCTCAAACAAATGAAATAGATCTTGGTGGAATAGGGTCTGGGCTTGCATGGTAGCAGGCCAATAACCACTCCTTTCGAAGTCAATGACCCCTGGGCTACTGTGCAAAATGTGGTGTTTGTGTATTAATGTGTCACAACATTCACAAAACCACTCTGATGGCAAACATTCCCTACAACGGATAATTGCTTCTCTCACATGACAGTGACTACATGTCATCGTGGGAATCCTTTCAGCCGACAACAAGTTGGCAAGGTTTTGTGGCCTCGCCTCCTGCCAACACTGCTGGACCTCTTTTTTTCTTTGTCCCCAAATGGACAATGGAGACTGCAGAATGGTGTCTTCAGGAGGATCTTCAAGGGTGATGGTCTCAGATTCCTGAAGAAGGTTCTCTAGCCTCTGCATATTAAAATCTTCAAAGAGAGAAGGAAAGAAATGAAAAAATAATAAAATATATTCAACACTGTAATTCACCTACATCTAACTAATTGGGATTTCCATTGGTTTTAGTAAAGTGATAATCCGGTGATGGAACAGAAGGCTGAGGGTGAAAGGATAGTTGGAAAGATTTATGTGGAATGATTCTGGGAGTATCATAATTAAAAACTTAATATTTGAAATTAAAAAAAATTATACCTTTTTAACTTTTATTTAATGTTTACAATGCAAATCCAATTAGATCCACTTATTTGGTAAACAAAGCAAGTTTCTCATATAATCTATCTACTAAAAGTTACTAAAGTATCTACTAAAATTACTTTACAAATTGTATTGCAATTAAATTAAATTAACATTTTCATACTTGTCAATAATATTACTGAAATTAATTTAAAAGCTAAATAAAAAAAATTGTACACACATTTACAAAAGTAAATAAATAGACACAATGTTTTCTTAAGTTTTTCTACTGTCGGGTTAACACCAACAAATGGTGGTAACATTAATGCTTGAGGCGTATTAGGGGACTGTAGAAAAGGCTTTAGGAAAAACCATTGTTAGCTGGCTAGTTACTAAACAGCAAACAGACAATTTCCTCAGTGTCTTGAGGATTTCTTTATGCCTATGTCCCTGTTTTCAAATGAAGCATAGGTTTTGAATTAAAATAAATAAATAAAATTCTTCTTACCAGGATATTGATGGGTAATACATGGTGGGGAGGAACTAGCACATGGAGAACAAACTGTTTAGAAGTAAAAAAATAGAATAAAACAAGCCACATTACAACAATTCATTGAAACTCCTTGGCAAATATACAAAAAAAAAAAATAAATAAACAATGTAACTTTTGGAAATCTTGCAACATGGAAAATATTAAACCTATACATACATGTCATTACACTGTAATTGACATTACCTATTTTTGTCTACTTAGTAGCAAGAGCACTATTAAACTCCTTCCTAGTTCATTCACACATCATTATTCACTATTAAAAGAGTTTGTCATTAACTTTATAAAATAGATACCAACCAGATGATGATCTTTTTTTCTGACGTTTCGAGGTGGACACCCGTTGCCCATCGCAGTCCCTCTTCCACCAGGTTACTTTGTTTTGTCCAGGGACTTCAGGTTGATCTGACTCTTTTTTTTTTGACTTAGCATGTAATTAAACAGATGGGAGAAAACTAGGCATTAACTAACTGGAGTTAATTGCTTAAATATTTGTGTATAACAAAAAAAAAAAAACTTGCCTGTATCTCCTCAACAAATGCATCAGCGAGAAGAAGAACAGCTTCTAATTTATGTTTGTTTCCACTTAACATTGTACTAAAACAAAAAATAAAATGTCAGTTCAATCTGATTTCTGACTGCAACTCAAACTTGAGTTGATTATCACAATTCAAAGCAAAGCTTGGACCACATCAAATATGTGACTTAAAATTTGTAATTTTTTATTCATTTATTTTAACAAGGTTACAGTTTTGTAAAGTTTTTTTGTAGCTGTATTGGTAAATGCCTCATTTAAAATATAGCAAATGTTTTTTTATGCTGGGGAAAACATCTTTAGTCTAAATCGTGCTTAATTTTTGTTTAGATAAAATGCACTATATAAGCTTATTGATCAGTTTAATGTTTTTTTTAAACACCACAGACTAATAAATAAATAATCAGCGATAATGTATTTAAAAAAAACTAATTGGAAAATATCAATTTTGTTACACATTTTTCCACCCTGCTAATTGTAGCACTGTATTTATTATTTTTTTTAATATAAATTTGAAACTCATTTAGTTGCTTATATATATATATATATATATATATATATATATATATATATATATATATATATATATATAATACACACACACACACACACACACATATATATATATATATATATATATACACACACACACACACACACACACACACACACACACACACACACACACATATATATATATATATATATATATATATATATATATACATATATATGTGTGTGTGTGTGTGTGACCTGCTGTTATATTATACAATTTATTTGCATCTTATTTATTCATTTTACCTTATTAAATAAATTGCATTTCAATTATTTCATCATATACATTTATTTTAATTTAAATATATTTATTGTATTGTTTTAATGGATTTAATCTAGTTGTCACACCTGTTGCAGTGCCCTAGTTTGGACACTTGAGGGCACTAGTTTGTTTTGTAGTTTCACTTCATTTCCCATAATCCTTTGTATTACTGATTGTGTTATGTTACAGCTGTTTTGTGTTTGTTAATTTAGTCCTGTCTTTATAAACCCTCTTGTCCTCTGTTTTAGTTGCCTTAGGATTTTGTTAGTTCCTCACATCTGGTATGTTTGTCTGGTTATCTAGGTTTTTTTTGTATTTCAATTATTCTTGGATTCCTGTTTGTGTTCGTTTTTGTTAGCACTTGTTAGCACTCCTACCCTGTCCTTGTATTTACCCGTTTTTGGATTTTTGCCTGTTTTCTTGTTTGGACTCGATTTGCATCCTGCTTTAGTTCTGTTCAAGTTTGGAAACCTTAGTCTTTGTTACAATAAATTGCTGCACTTGGATTTCTGCATTGTGATCTTTCCCCATTTCGTGACATAATCCTAAGGCCCACTTTAAATCCAGCAGCAAAAATTTTTTTTTTAATTTTTTGGGGAGGATGAGTTTCAAGATTCTTTCGCCTGCAAACGAGAAGGAGCGATTACTTCGTCTCCAGGCATTGATGGCAGAACGCCAACAGGGTTTGGAGGTAGGAGCCTTTGCCCAGTCATTTTGGACCTTGTCAGTGGGACTGAGACTGTCTGACTATGAACTTATCAACATTTTTAATCAATGTCTGGATCATCCTTTATCTAGGAAAGGGATGGAAGATCTTATGATTGCTCAATTTTGGGATTTTGTTATACACCTTAAGAGTAATAGTTTTGAGCTTGATTCTTTTTCAAAAATTGAAGTCACCCCCAGATCTCCACCGCAAACAACGATCATCCCAGAGTGTGTCACTGAGGCTGTTGAATGTTTTGACACTCTCTCTAACATTCTGGCCAGTGTCAAGTCTCTGCCTAAATCTATTGATCCTTTAGGATTTCAGCCTACAGTGATTACTAGTCCAGAGAATTTGATTGAGTTTAATGTTTCTCCAGGACCCCTTTCGATGATGGCTGATGACATAGAGGCTTTCCTCAAGAGATCTGCTAGTCATGAACCTTTCAGTAAGATAGCCATTACTCCAGATTTTTTGCCCAGGATTGTCACAACCTTCCAGCCTTTGCCCGAGGGGATCAGCAGTTCAGACCTTTTGTCCAGTATTCCTGCCCATTTAAGTATTCAGCCTGAAATGACTGCCAGTTTAGTCTCTGCTCCAGAAATCATTTTTGAGTCCTCATCCTCCATTGCTTTTGAACTGTTCTCCATTTTTTCTGATTCTGTTTCTAGACTCATTGAACCTTATTTTTCTAATATTATTCAGTCTTCATTTTTAAGTTTCTTTGAGCCTTCGTCTTCAAGAGCCGGTGAGCCCTCACCATCAAGCGCCGGTGAGCCTTCGTCCTCAAGCGCCGGTGAGCCCTCGCCCTCAAGCGCCGGTGAGCCCTCGCCCTCAAGCGCCGGTGAGCCCTCGCCCTCAAGCGCCGGTGAGCCCTCGCCCTCAAGCGCCGGTGAGCCCTCGCCCTCAAGCGCCGGTGAGCCCTCGCCCTCAAGCGCCGGTGAGCCCTCGCCCTCAAGCGCCGGTGAGCCCTCGCCCTCAAGCGCCGGTGAGCCCTCGCCCTCAAGCGCCGGTGAGCCCTCGCCCTCAAGCGCCGGTGAGCCCTCGCCCTCAAGCGCTGGTGAGCCATTGCCCATTTCACAACCCAGATCTAGGGGTAAGCCTCTTCCTAAGCTGAGAAGGCCCTTGCCACCAAAACAAACTTTTGTTCCAAACAGACCAAAGTTTAATTCACCACTGGCTGGGTGGCCTTATACCTTAGGCTGGCCACCAATTCCAGCATTTGTACCACTATGGTGGCCTTTAGTTTGGGCATCACATCAGCAAAGCTCACTTGCTCACTTCTTTCATGGACTTCACCTTGGCTTGTATGGTTCCACCTTGTTTCCATGTATGTTATAGTTTATGTATGTTTCACCCACCATCCCTCCCCCTGGTCAACCTCCATTCCACCTCCCTCCTAGTTAAAATATCAAGTGGGAGTGTCTGGAATCCACTCCCTTTGAGCGGGGGTAATGTCACACCTGTTGCAGTGCCCTAGTTTGGACACTTGAGGGCACTAGTTTGTTTTGTAGTTTCACTTCATTTCCCATAATCCTTTGTATTACTGATTGTGTTATGTTACAGCTGTTTTGTGTTTGTTAATTTAGTCCTGTCTTTATAAACCCTCTTGTCCTCTGTTTTAGTTGCCTTAGGATTTTGTTAGTTCCTCACATCTGGTATGTTTGTCTGGTTATCTAGGTTTTTTTTGTATTTCAATTATTCTTGGATTCCTGTTTGTGTTCGTTTTTGTTAGCACTTGTTAGCACTCCTACCCTGTCCTTGTATTTACCCGTTTTTGGATTTTTGCCTGTTTTCTTGTTTGGACTCGATTTGCATCCTGCTTTAGTTCTGTTCAAGTTTGGAAACCTTAGTCTTTGTTACAATAAATTGCTGCACTTGGATTTCTGCATTGTGATCTTTCCCCATTTCGTGACAAGTTAACTTGAGTGTTTTTTAAGTTTTAGAAATGTATTTTAAAACAATTAATGATTTAAATTTAATTTAGATATTACGTGTTATGCCTTTTCTCTAAATATTTTCACGGTCTGTACAATGAATCTGCAAGCAACTAGTGATGCCTGCTAACGTGTTTTATTTTTGTAAATGTAAACCGTATGCTCTGTAATACCGATCTGGCGTCAGTTATGACTAATAATAGTATAGATGACCACAAGTTGAAAATAAACCGGTTTAGGGGCCCATTCGCACTTGTTAGTCGACTTTAATGCTAGACGTTACCACTTTAGCTAAAAAGATTGCTAAGACTCATTTTACTGACTCGAATCTTTGAATCACGTTCAGCAAACTGAACAAATCTTTTCACCAAAATATAATTAAGGTTAACGTTACATGTTTGAATTAGATCTGCAGTGCCGTCATCCCCGATGTTTAAAAACGTCCAATCATGTCACAACATGATAAAAACTTATTAATTTATTAATAATTTCTCCAGTAATGTGATAGCTGGGCTAAGTTACCAGCTGTGCTAACTGAACGCCCAGATGTTACACTTGAATAACAACTTTGAACGCACAATTTCTAACACACGACTCATGTAACGTGATTAAGAAACACAAAATTTATTAAAATGCAGTTAACGCCGTGATCTCATCACAAAAAGAGGGGAAAAGCCCTTGATTTAATGTCGACGCTCATCAGGTGAACTGGCGTTGAACCGAGTCTCGTTGATGACGTCATCGCCGTTAAAGTTGCTTATGCGTGGCATATGGACGCATCTGTTCTCCAAAGAAATGAATGGGAAGGACTGGCGTATCATATGCACGCAAAAACGGATTTTGGCGTATGCATTGCACGCAAAGGGAAGGTGGAAAGTCGTGTTATTTGTACGCAAAGTTATGAGATCGGGTTGGATAATGACAATTCTTTTAGGGGTGAACAATTTTTAAAAATGTTTTCTGAGTTGTGGCTGTTTAGCAGATGAACCTCACAGGCTCACCAATTTACAATATGATCTCTCAATTTAACAAGTGTAATGTAAACCAGTTAGTTATTATGAGTATGGAAAATGTCTTTTCCTGCATTTATTCGGCTTCAGGAGTCAGTCTGTTGACTGTAAACAACACAACAAACAATGCAATAAATAGTTTTATAGAAAAAATTGCTTTGTCATTGAACCTGAGAAAAACTTTGAAAATAACCATAATTTAGTCATAATGCTGTAATATGAACAATAAAACCATTTTTAACTGTGGGGACATATCTTTAGAAGTACAATTCAGCTGTATTATTTGTGTCCCCTTCAAAAATCTTTTAAAAATTGATCATAAGAAATTTTATATTTATTGTCCCCCCTACTGTTAAATCAAATGAATGGCCATGGGCGCACCATGTCTAATCCCCTTTGCCATTGAAAAGCATGAGGAAGCATCTGCAGGT